GATATTAATTAGAGGTATACATCTCAGGATCGGAGGACCGGACGTATGGACGCATTCCAGTACTATCAATAACGTGGGTGCCAATAATATTTGCCCTGGCAGTCCTGTTGTTTTTCATATAATGTCAAGAAAAAATGACGTATTTAACAAAAAAGAGTGGTACACTGCTTGTTAGCTGGTTGCAGCAGTCTATCGGTCAAGAAAATAAGCTGAGGAATAAAAATTCTCTTCCGCAGTGCTTGTCGACATGCTATTGCTCAGTATGTTGCTCTTATTTTTATTCAAGGTGAATCGTTAGGCTAATTTTTTTTTCTTCAGAATTAATTTCCGTCAGATTGATCAACAAGTAGTGAGCGATTTTGACGCAAATGTGCTGTCGAAATTCCAGAACTTTTTTGACTGGGTGAAAGAGGAAACGATTAAAGCGGAGAATATTAGTCGCAACAAGTGGGCTGTTCGTTCACCATTTTCATAAACCTAATAGCCTTTGGTTGGCATTTCAATATTTTGTTCGGCTGCCTTTCGCCGCCTGCATTTTTATGTTACTGCTACAGTTAGCAACGTTCCACAACTGAAATACCATAAATTGCCTTAACCTGGTTGCGAAACTACTGGCGATTGTGGTGCTCCTTTTTTTCATTCCTTTCAGGAGAGAGATTTTAAGATCTTATCCGATCGTTCATGGTCTGTCAGCCCTCTTATTAGCGATTTTTTTACTTTTAAAAAGGTGCAGCCGCCCAATGGCAACCAATAAATCCTTTATTCCATTCGTCTCTGCTAACCCAAATATCGCTAAAAACTCAGGCTCTCAGGTGCTTATAAAATTTCTAACGAGACCAACCTTGGGAGCAGAGATGCTCGAGGTTATATCTGGAAGCTAGGGATGTCTCTGATTTAGCAGTCAGCGTCAATCAAAAAATTTCTTAGTCGGGCCAATCGGTCCAGAAAAATTTGAAGACTTCACCACATTTGAAGACTTCACCACATTAACATTTTCAAAACGGGGTGCAAAATGTGTTTGAAATTAGGATTTTCACACAGTGTTTGAAATTAAGATTTTCAGAACGGGACGCAAAATCTTACTAAGGAGCGAATTTGAAAAGGAGATGAAGTTTTTCAATCGACAAAGAAAAAGTCTCTCACAATTAATTTCGACTCAAGAAGTTCGTAAAGGAAAACGGTGTGTTACTTTAGTCAAAATAAGCCGCTTCTGCTGAAAGAATTTAGTTTTGTCGTTTTTGCCACTGTGGGGCAGGTGATCGAAACTTATCTTATGAAAGTGAAAATTCTATCAAAAGATCATTTTGCTTCCATCTGCAGTTCAAATCCAAGAGTTTATCGCGATGAACAATAAGAACGTATACGACTTCAAGGACCGAAACATTCCTGTTTAGCAGTTTAATTTCAGTTTGATTCCATTTTCGTAAATTTTACTAAAATATGCCTTTAAACCATTTATTTATATTTGCCCTGATATGTGGAATAGCTGCTAGCTCATCGCTTTGCTCTTCATTGCCCTAGCAGCAGTTACTTTGTTTTCATTTTGTTGAAATCCGTACTTCCTCGTAGTTGTCCGAATCTTTCTTACAAGACAACCCGATTTCTTGCACTAACCTATCGCGCGACTATAACTTTCGTCTCTTTTCATTTGGAATTCACGGAAAAAAACGGGAGTAATGTTGGAGAGGGAAAGGGGGAGGAGGGATGAAGAGGATATGGTGTCCGCATTAATACTGAATAGAAAAAAGTGCTTGCAGAAAGTGTAATTTTAGTAGTGTACAAAAGCAGCAACCAGTACGTGATGTTGATTGCCCTGATCTCGCTGGTCATGCAGAACTCTTTCCCAGAATACACTCGATGAATTTAAGAAGGTCTGTTTCATTAAAATTTTTTAGTTTCTGCCTTCGTATTTTAGGTACTTTCTTAACTTATCAGAACAAGATTTAGCAAGAGGAGCACTTGTACGGTAAACGAATCCACGCTGCCACGCTGTCAGCAGTGGCAGCTCAAAGAAACGCAAGAACTGGATCCTGAGCAGCTCAGCGATACAAATGGCAGTCATGCATATCCGGAGCCGCTTCCAAAACACCTAAAGCTTCAACAATTAAGACAAGCGCAATTGGATTAAGGATTGTTATAAAGAAAGAATCTCCTCCGGATACACAGCAAACTGCAGCTAGCGAGGAGGCTGGCCTGGATACGCCACAAACTGTAGCAAATCAAAAAGATCACATGGACACACTACAAACCGAAAAGGCCTCTAAACATTCCATTGGGGAAACAGCAGATGGAGACGAAACAATACACAGTCAAGTCACTTCGTGTGATAAAACACAGCTTAACACTACAGACAGCGGCATCTCAGCGACAAAAATGATCGCAGAGGGGGACTCGCCAGGGACATTTTTGTCGTTTAAGCAGTCAAAAGTGTTCGTGGAAATGGAGCATGTGGACAAAAATGCAAAATTTTTGACCAACGTTGAGACGAATAAACGTGATGAAGGCGAAGAGAATGCTGCTATTTATCCTGGTAATGAATGTGCAAAGGATCAAGTATCGGAAAGGTTACTGATAGTTTTATTCGCGAGTTTTGAATCTATTCTCCAGTGTCTCCAATCACACTGTCACTTGTTTCTATTTGACAAACATCTGCCCTTCTTGTTTTGTTACATGGGGCGTTATGAGTTGATAAAAAGTCAGTTGTTTCCAGCACTTGCGTTTCGAAAGAACAAGATTCTGTAGATGGCGCGTGCGCTAGCCGTGGTGCCAATGAATTCTACTTGAGCAATGAAACAGCTGGTGAGGGACATGCGCAAGAAGAAACTTCTGATTGGAAGAGTGGTCAGCACTCTTTCTTTGATGATTATTTTCCAGTATCCGGGCGATCGTAATTTTCCTGGTATAGGAGAACAAGGGAATAACCACATTTTAATTCAATCCAAGATTTTGTTCTTCCACAGGGACGAGATTTTTAAGTGATATCCATGAATTTTAAAAGTCATGCAAACCGAGAACCAGGGTGGAAAATGATTTCTCGGTCACCCCTAATTTCGATGAATTCCTTAATTTTCATTTGCTTTTGTCACAGATTTTAGCATTAGTA